TTCTTATTTTTGGGCAGCGCGATGATTCGGCTGTTGTATTTTTGATCTTGAAGTTTAATGAATCGAGGAGAAACTGTCTGCTTGCTTTTAAGAACCGAACTTTTAGAGAGCGAGCCCCAACGCAACCTCGCTTTTTATATTCCCGCAACGTAACTGTTTTTGAATTTTGAATTGAATATGACAATCCGATTCGTCCCCCAAAAAGTCACTTATGACGTCGGAAACGTGCCGAACAGCCACATTCAAATTCCATTGGTCCGAGTCGTAGTGGAGCAGCGGTCATCTGGCAATCGTCACTTCACACCTACTAGGGCGCCCCAAACCAACGGTCACTAAACCGAATGTTGGGGGAAGAGACTTTCACACGCCAGGATGGCGCCACTCTCTTTCCCAATGTGATACATTGGACAAAGCCAAAACTTAATAAAATCACTCAAATTTTGATGAAGTGAGGTGTACCAAGTATCATCTAATCACACCTCCTTCGTTCATATAAACCAGATTAATATACCAAAGCCTGGTTTACCTCTCATCTCAAGTTTCAGTCCGTTCGGGAATTGAACCACGGACTTGGACTGGCACAGTTCTTAAGAATGTAACCCGGACAAACAGTGAGGGTGTTCTATGTTGTATGAATCGTGTCACGTTGTTGCCCCCAGGTACTGGTTCTGTCTCACCAGCGAGCCATGTTGTATTGCATCTATATTGCGATGGATCGAACAACAAATGATGCAGAGGAAGTCACACAGTATGCTAAATTGGTTGGTATGAAATGTGCTCAAAGAATGCTTCTCGTACGGGCCTGAGTTAGCATGAGAAGAGTAAATTATGTATTAAGCATGTTGACTGTTGTACCAAAGTTACGTACTGTACAGTAAAGTTGTTTCTTGAGAGGAATTAATCTGCATTTCATTTAAATTGCAGTAGTGTGTACGTTTTGTTTGAGAGAATAGTTGCTTATGATGGTCCTGTATTATACTGTGTAGTGTCCACTTCAGTGAAGCTCAACAAAATGAAATTTGTTAACTCTTGACTGCTAATTTTATTGCTTTTGTCTTCTGACTATCATGATTTTAACCAGCTGAATCAGAAGATGTTTAATATCTATTTAGGACTGAACTTTTTATGAAACATGAACTGGAAATAAATGAAATAAACACTTTTAGTTCCCAATAAAAATTATGATTGTATGATTATGTATTACCTAACAAAAGTGTAATCATTGAAATAAATATTACATGTTGATTTTCGTCTTAAATGTATCTGCACTCAATAAATGATTAATACAGTATTGCATCAGAATTCTTTGAAATGATTGCACACTGGCATTAAGATGATTATTTGAATAGTTGTGTAGTTTTCCTGTGCCAAAGAGATCAAGTAGTTCGGTTGCATTCATTGCAAACACTGGCCAGCCACTGATCTGTTGTGTTAATCCAGTAAAAATGAAAATTCATTGTATCGCTCACTTGCAAATTGAGTTTGCAGAATATTTTTATTTCACTCCCAGCCCAGCTCCATCATTAGTATGCAATCATTTCTTCAGTTTATAGGTCAATGTAATATGAAATTCAGTGTTTAAAAAATATCCACCAAGTAAGTGAACCACAATGGTTTTCTGCTTGGGCACAAAGGCATCTTCCAGAATTTAAATCAAATTACAGTGTGCGACCAATGTTTTACAAGATGTCTTTAACTGTAGTAAAGTTATGTACAAAGATCCATTTCCCCCTTTGCTGAATAAGATGGCGGTGCATGGCGGAGGAGTGGGTAACTAACTACCTGAGCGGATGGCCTCTGAGGGTCGCCAGGTGTGTGAGAACGAATCATGGCGTGCTATTGACAGTTTGTAGTGTTGTGTGCGCCAGATAAATCGAAATCCTTCATACAGTCACAGCGGTAAGTGATACGGCTCTTTAAATCACGTTATCTCGTATATGCAAAAGATATGTTCCCAGGATCGCTTTTTTAAATTCCGAATGGAATTGCATGTATCACTGCACACAATATTTTTATAAATGAAGATGTCATTGGTGAAATCAGTGTTGCAAAATTAAGGTTATGTCACGTAAAATGCAAACATATCTTCGTCACTGCAATATGCAAGTTTCAGGTTTGCTAGTTTAGAGCGTTTTACAGTAAGCTACGAGAAAATAAATATATCACGTGGACAAATAACTAAATACATATAAATTTGTTATATACTTTGTCAGTTACGAAATGAATATTAGAGAAATGGGTTTTGACAGTCGGCCCAGTTAGATTGAAAACATCTTAGGAGGAAGAAGAAGAAATACATTTTGAAGACGTGAACCCGATTGGATTGATCCATGATTTAGTTGAAAGGTGAGTTTTGTGGACATGTTGAACCCCTGGATTTCTTTAAAATGGATATTCTTTTGCATAGTAGAATGTCGCTGTATTAATGGATCACGTTACAGGTCTGTGTAAACAGACAATCTGTACAAATGTCTAATGTTTTGGGTTAACGTGCTTTTTGCACATACTGCAAAGAACTAGGTCTAACGTTTTGGGGAAATCATAACTGTTTGTCCGTTTATTTTTCCACGTGTTTTGTCTGTGAGACAATACAACGAATTACGATAACCTTTTTTGTATTGGATATTACAAACTAAACGCTGTTGACAGAATTTGTTTTGATACAACATTACTTCATGAAGATTGAAATAAATTTTTATGAATGTGCTAATGAAATGCTCACAGTAGAAACGATTTGTACATAATACTCTATAGGTGGGCTCTTTAAATCTGTGGCTTTTACTTGAAACCCTATTTTGATGTCGTGAATGTTTAACCAAGTGCAGTAAAAAATTACGATTCCATGCCAGGCCTGTGAAACGTGTGTAGGCAACGTGGTCCAGACCGCAGCGTCAGAAGCAGGAACGAATTTAATTTTTTTGTAAAGGCTAGCCTGAAATTATAAAGAATTCATGTAGGCCTATGATTGTGGGAGGGGGGCTCCTCAGTCACAAGTAATAGGCCTACGGACGTTATTACATTACAGAAAAGTGTGTCACAATCTTGTAAATTTCCTCAAACCAGTTGAAACGTTTGTTTCGATTCCAGGGCCACACAAAGTGACATTTGGGGGGTGGATGGGCACATCCCCTCCTAATACGTTGCCTGCCTCGACACCCCGCTTTTAAATAAACCTGTTTATTCACAGAACAATTTGCTCAGGTCTGGATATGGTAACTTTGCAGTGCGGTCTCACAATGCTAGCTGAATGGGTGGGATTCTGTGCTGATTCTTGATCTGTAACGGGATGCTGGAAGGAGGTAGAAAGACAAAACAGGTAAGTTGTTACAAACAAGAAGTTATAAGAAGCACTTTTGGAGCCAGCTCTCCTTTAAGCACACTGAAAGGAATTATAAATTAATAAGTAACCTATAAATTCATGATCTATTTCTAAGTATAGTGCCAGATCCCCGTACTTGAAAGGCGTCGAACATAATATAAAAACGTTGCTTCTTCCCCATATTTGAAAACTTAACACAAAACATTCTAAATTTCACCTTTGTAACTGAAATTATTTACTACTATCATACGGCGAGCTAAATATATCCCGCATTTCGCATGGTAGTAGCTGCCATGGTATATTCATATTATCATTATATTTTTATCTTTACCGCCTTTTACAGTCGGTCTGTCCGTCAGCCAGAGTCAAACCTTGTGTCTGATGCTCGGTGCATATCAACGTTTGGAAAACGCACACAGCTGAGTGACCATCAGTTATTCAACAAGTAATCGGCTCCAATGCATTAGTTAGGTTAGGTTAAACCATAATTCAGGAACAGATTATATTTCGTATTTATAGTTTTACGTTTTTGTTAGTAACACAGTCCGCCGTTCGACAAATTTATTCTCGGAATCCAGTGGTGTAGAAATATAAACGGAAGTCCTCGTTTATTGTTTGATTGATTATTTATTGGCAAATTATAAACTGTTTACGTTATTTAACACCGAGTGAGAGTGTTATTTTGAATTGCGAAAGTATGTGGAATGTTTGCATATACTCTCAAATTATTTTCCTGGAGATTCTGAGGAGAACCACCTATCCCTGGGGCCTCCCTAACACGAAGCAGGAGTGCCAACCGCTTCACTTGTTTTTGTACGCCTCGTAGTCCCTTGTTAATTCTGCAACCAATCAACTTGTGTCCAAATGACCTCTTAATCTCAGGCTTGTTCCTAACTCTGTACTGGGTCACGTGCTACAGACGTCACGGATGTGTGTGAAGTCCGTGAAAGTTTCACTTTCAGGGAAGTGCGAAGTTTTTTAGTTGTACCTACTGGTCGTCTTCAGCCAGGTTAGTTTCATCAACAGAGCGACGCGTAATTAAGGTTGTGCGTGGGTTTGATCCTACGGCAGGCAACTTGAAAGCCGTAGAGCCCACGATGGACATACAGCTACTTGATTCTGCGTGCGTATGTATAAGGGGGTACTTGGGGTCCAACTGAAGTCATTATTATTATAATAAAAATAATCATCATCATCAGCCATGACGTGGAGAATCTCAGGAAAATCATTAGAAGCCTGAGGTTAACCGGTCACTTGGTTACCAAGACGAAGAAAACTGGTGTTTGCACAAAGAATTAGAACTTCCTTAATACGGAATGCACGGATCTTTGCCTCCACGTCCGCTTGCGTTGCAGTGTCGAGATGCTGGCGCCATGTCGCCGGCGGGTGTGGCGTCTCTGGTCTGTGCTGCTATCAGTCTCGGCGATCACCGTCGTTTTGTTGTGGCGCAGTCATGAAGAAGTCACGACATCCGACGAAACAGAGAGGGACGACTGGGTGGCGGTCAGGTAAGCACTGTGCAAAAAGTGCAGTACGTTCGTCTAGACCTTTGTTACTGTATATAATGATTCGTTTTAGTGTTGTGTTTGATTATTATCTTAATATAATAAATTTTTCTCGGGATACCAACCGTGTAAGGAAAACACCAGCGTTTTGAGAACCGTCCTCGTCCTCAGGGTACTGACAGTACACGGCTGGTAGCTCGAGAAGAATTTGCCGTGAAATGTTCAGATCATACAATTATCTAAATAGTTTATTACATTCCTGTACAGTTCCCAGTATGGGGTGTAAAATCTGATGCCATCTCAGGGGGAAAACCCCGTTTTATATCAAGTTATTCTGATTCAACAGCTGAAGGTATACATATTAATTTTACCTGTCTGCGTAAGCTGGGTTTACCCATCCAATCAATTCCTCATATAAATTGCCCCATATTTTATTATTGGACACCCCACCCCCCAGTATTAAACTGTACGAAAATCTGTACAGCGTTTCTCTAGTTGTTTCGTATATTTTGTCATGTAATGGTTTTTTATACACTGTATATTTTTATGAAATTCACGCAAATTACTGTGCGTTGATATGTTGTCCCGAGCCGGGTCAGAATAACAACGAGTGGTTTAAAGAAAGTGTATCGAAATCGGTTACGAGGTTTCGAAAATGAAACGTACGGATGGCGAAAACAGCACCGGAGTGAATGTTTTTTTCCGGTTCGTTGCACCACTGACCTCTCGTGCTCGTCCGTTGGCTTGAAGTATGCGCCATCTCATCATACCAATGTTATTTTTTTTATGTCCTAGTAATCTGCTTGCAGAGGGGGAACTGGAATCAACCTCTTCTTCCTAGTGAGAGCAAAGGTTTCCTCACTCTGTCTAGTAAAGCTTCAAGGCCATTTCGATTATAAGCGTAGTTTATTTTTATTAATTTTAAAACGGCTGACTACATGCGCAGTTGGGCAACCTGTCGTTAAAGTGGTGATGTTTGAATGCCAGTATTTCAGTCATGTTGAGTCCACACTGCAGTTTCTTATATAACGTGATGGTTGCTTCCTTGGAAAGTCCTGCTGGGCACGGCTGTCTACCGGGATGTTACGCCATGTATTCTGGTAGAAATTTGCTAACTTTTCAGAGACGTTTACTGCCACCGTCATCAGGCGAGCTGTGTATTTTTCGTTGGTGTGTCTTGCACCCAGGTTATGAATGTATTATTTATCACCCTCACATGCAAATCAAATGTCAGCCTCATAAATAGTTCGTTGAATACAATCGAGTTCGATGAACCTCCCGCGTTTTTATTTTGCTTTGGTGAGTGCCATTGTCGTAGTACTATGTCCTGTTGTGTTGCGAAAACAATGGACAGTCGCCGAGCGTATCGAGTCGGTGCTGCCAGTACAAAAAGGTTATTCAAGTACAGGGAAGCCCAGTCCGATTGAATTAAAAATCTTTAACTATGCTTGAACTGACAGACTATTTCTGTGGTACACGATCTTCCTTTTTAGACAGCTGATAATCGTTTAGATGGTTAAAAAATTCTTTGCTTTTATGGATGCTGAAGGCTCGTAACTGTGTTGAAACCTACTCTGAACCAGTTTAACCCAGTTTACTTGTTTCTCTCATATCTGTTTCAAATTATGCGGTCTGCCAAGATAAAATGCGTGGCGCTGTACCTCCACTTCATTCATCAGCATTGAAGGACAGAGGTTTACTATAAGTCTAAATTTGGTTTCGGGTTCTGGATTAATTCGTATACTGTTTGACAACGCTGTTTAAACTAAGGATTTCTATCGACTGTTCTGTTTCATTTCATTTCGTAGACGATCGACTCGAAAGACTGAGTTGAGTTCGTTCTGCCTTTACATCACAAGCTTGCATATCATTTTATATTTCTGATCAATAAAATGTTGTGTGGCTCGTGTGAGGCAATGAGAAATACTTATAGTTCCGCTCGGCACGTGAGCCTACGGCAGATACCATCGCCACGCCATTGTCCTGGTACGACGAACCCAAGTTCCGCTCTCAGGTACAACAACTGACATCTGTGGGCGAATTGTGCAATCTTCCGCCACTGTTTCGTGCCTGTGGCAGTCTGAGCGACTGTTAGCTTTTGAACCTTATGAAGTCCAGTGGCAACTATATGCACCGCCTTTTATAAATCAGTAACCCTTAGTTTTGTATTTGTGAGTTTCGTATGACCCTCGCAGCTATTTTTTCCGAGAACTGCATTAAACAACTGATATTCGAATTGTTGAAATGTTTTATTTGCGGTACGGACTGAATTCTTTAATATTATTAAGACAAGCTTCAACTGCAAATTCTCCTCTCAGCAACTTCCCCTTTGCAAATTCTCTCACTGCTTCAACTGCAAATGCCAGTCGCTATGGAAGATGACTAAGCGGGTGATGCGAGTCCCCACTCCGTCTCCCCCCTTACAAGTGGCGGGAGGATTTGCTCTCTCGGACTCCGAGAAAGCGGAAGCCATGGCCGACAGCCTTGAGCCGGTGGACGACCCGTCAGCCCGCCTGTTATATTGACTTTGTTAACGAGGCGATGTGAGCATACGAGTACGCCCCCGCAAGTGAACCGAAATTAACCAGTAACTCGGAGGTCCTTCAGGCCAACAGGGGACTCAAGCCTGGCAAGGCTCCGGACCCCAACGGTGTTTCGAACAGGGTCCTGAGACGTCTACCAAGGCGCGAGGTAACCGTTCTCCCAAAAATGTGTAACACGCATTCCTCTGCAGGCAGTACTTCCCCTCGGCATGGAAACACGCTTGCGTGGTGTCCATACTGAAACCGGGGAAGAACCCCACGCTACTCTCTTCTTACAGACCCATCAGTCTTCTTGAGGAGATCATATTAACTAGGGTCCTACACGAGTTAAACGAACGTGTAGCACGACGCTGCAGTTGGCCTGCTTTGTTGAAAGGGTCAACCGAAACTTTGACGAGAGGCAGCTAACCGGCCCTGTTTTCCTGAATGTTTCCAAAGCTTTAGACACAGTATGGTCGAAGGTCTCCTCTTCAAGCTAACCGTCCTCGACTTCCCGTCCTACCTGGTGAAAACCATCTCATCCTACCTTTCTTGTCGGACATTCCAAACGTCCTTCCAGTCGGCAACGTCCACACGTGCCATGCGGGCCGGAGTTGTTCAGGGTGGACTCATCATCTCCGCTGTGCTCTTCAGTCTCTGTATCAACGACATACCTACACCCTCTCGCCACGTCCCGTAGCCAAACGCTTCTCGTCAGTTATGTGGAGCTTGTTCGCACTGTAGCAACTAACAAAATTATCCATGAATCAATCCTACCCATAAAATATGTCCAGGATCCAGAAGACCAACATTATCTTTATCACTGTGGAACCAGAAACTCACATATAAACTGAAGACAAACTATTATTCTTCGTAGTTCTTAAATCCTATTGGCATTTTATTCCTATTTTCCTCCTTGGTATTACAATCCTCTTGACAGTTTCTTTTTGTCAGTGCTCGGAAGATTGGCTGCTATTATTTTGTCTCATTCCAGACCGAGATACTAACCCGGGACCCCCGAATAGAAATCCTGCTTCATATTTCGGGACGGGGTCCCGGGCACAAGTCTCAGTCCGGTGACCCTGATCAAAGATCTTTGTGCTTTTCCTCAGTCCCTTCAGGTAAATGCCGGCGTACATCTTTTTTAAGGCCATGATCGTTTCCTTCCATATTCTTTCCAAGATATTAATCATCGTATCATTCGACACTACTTATTCTGTGCTCCATACAGCGTCGTTAAATGATCCATCTACCGCAACCATTTACGGTTCTGTTGTTACTTTTTTTTGAGCACTGCCAAGCGTGCTGAAGCTTTGACTCTCTCAATTTTGGAAGCTTTCTGAAGCCGTTAATGAGAGAGACAGAATGATTCTAGCCACCGCGTTAGACATAATCTGGCCCGCGGGTCCGTGTTCTAGTGGCGATTGGCAGTACGCAGCTCCTGGCACAGCCCTAAAGTAGACCCGTTCTTCTCTCTTGTTGTTTCAGGTTGGGGCGAGACCAGAAGGAGTACGTAGACCATCGGGGGGTGCACGTCGTGGTGGGACACTACATGGGGGAGGCCAATAACCTGCAGAACCCCCCAAACCTCACGGAGGGTGAGTCACGTCTTAAAATTCAGCTGATAATATGTGAGGAAAGTACTTTGAGCACGAAGTCGTGTAGACACGTCTCCTTTCTTGCGCGCGTTTCAGAGCTGCTGAACTCCAACATGTTCGACCCGCGACCTAACCAGGGCAAGGACGGCCAGCCGGTGGTGATCCCGTCGCACGAGCTGTTGAAGATGCAGCAGCTTTTCCACATAAACAGGTTCAACTTGATGGCCAGCGACCGCATTCCACTCAACAGGAGCCTACCTGACGTGCGCAAGAAGAGGTAACCGCGTGGAGCTTTGTCTCCACGCCCCTATACCCTCGCACGGGGCACTTTTTTTTGTCTTTTTTGGTACCATCGGGTCGGAGCCGACCCCTGGTGACATTATGAACACGTTCCCTCTGATAGGGACCTGTTCATATGTTTCCTCGGCATATGATCCAGAAGTGGTTTGCCGTCGCCTTCTTCTGAGTAATTGTTGGGATGCCATGGAGAGACCGGGGAAGCCCCGGAGGAAAACTCCATGATATCTGGATCACGGCCTTGCCCAACACAAGTTGTAAATCCGGGCACCACCGGGAATCGAACCCGGGACCCCAGGATTACAAGCCCAGCGTTCTGACCGCTATAAATAAATTAAATTCGCGGTAAGTGCTTCCTGCCATAAGCCATCGGACGCCACGTAACATCAGTAGTTGATAGAGCGTACACACCAGTCAGTTAAATAGTCAGGATATGAATTAGCCCCTCGGCGGACGACCAGCAATGAAGCTGTCTGTGTGCAGGTGCCAGAGTAAGTCCGTCAACCTGACAGGCCTTCCTGCTGCCACAGTGATTATCGTCTTTCACAACGAGGCGTGGTCCACGCTTCTGCGCACTGTACACAGCGTCGTCAACAGGTCGCCCCGCTCCCTGCTGCAGGAGGTCCTCCTCGTCGACGATGCCAGCACCAGAGGTCAGGGCACTTATCATTAAAATGCTGATGACCATCCCCATACGGGCGAGTCCTCAGTTTAAACCCAGGTACTGCCTGTGTTTGCCATCGGTGGTTTCAAGTGTGTTCATGCTCAAAATTGTTTTTGCAGTTTCTTGCTAAGAGACTTAAAATAAATACCGAACACAGAACGGCTAGCAAAATGATGGTGAGATACAGGGAATCGGCTTAAAGACGTAGCACGAATGAGGAAAACAAACGCTTGTTCCCATACTCCAAGGAACTGACCATAGATGGACTGATAATATTAAAACGGGTATTATTGAATAGAATTTGAAGATTCGGAATAATGTCCAGTGGTTGGATTTCGGGAACCTTTTGAGAATTTCCGACAGTATTCTGTAGGCTCCAGTGTACTTGTTGCAGCTTTCCTGAAGGAGCCGCTAGATCAGCACGTGGCGATGTTGCCAGTTCCAACCCGCGTTCTGCGCACGCACGAGCGAGTGGGTCTTGTAAGGGCTCGGCTCCTTGGGGCCCGCGAGGCGCGGGGGCAAATCCTCACCTTCCTGGACGCTCACTGTGAATGCACCGTAGGTACGTAGTGGTATGACGAGGAACCAGGGCTGCCACACACACTTTGAGGACGTACAGCTTTTTCAGGGACGCGTTTAAAATTGGGCTGATGGGGGGGGGGGGGGGTAATTTGTAAATGCAGGTAGTATAATGTTCATTTAGCTAATTAATTTCTTCATATCGTCCCAATAAACAAATTTCTGAATTAACTGTAGAAAACATTTTTCAAGCATGTCTCGTATTGTGTGTAAGATTACTCAAAAACACGTTGGGAGCAAGGTAGGCGCAGGAGTACAGCAACCCGCCTCGCACTATGTTTAGAGTTCGATGTAATCCACTACAAATTTACTTTATGCTGTCGGTTTGGTGATTCATCACATTTTCCACAAAATCTCTGCATTGAGCCTCATTTATATCGTGTCTGATTTATATTCTAACATGTTTGACATCAACTTTAATATTATTCTCACTCCAGTGCTTTGGTACAGACTGACGCATTGTAGTCGTTAGATAATCTTCTGCGGCTCTGTTTAACCTACGCATTTGGTAAATCATCCGTAACTGAACGAAGACAGAAAAGACATTGCCGTAGTATACAAAATTACTTGTGTACTTGCCAAATGCTCTTGCTTCAAGTTTCGAGACGTGTGTGAGGTTTTGACTGTCGTTTTTTTTAAAGTATCTCCACTTTCAGGCTGGCTCGAAAGTTTGATCTCCAGAGTCGCTGAAGACAGGACCCGGGTTGTCTGTCCGGTGATTGACATCATCAATGACGACTCTTTCGCGTACGTGAGAAGCTTTGAGCTGCACTGGGGCGCCTTCAACTGGGAGCTGCACTTCCGGTGGTACACCTTGGGCGGTGGCGAGATCAAGAGGCGAAAGCAAGACATCACAGAGCCCTTCAGGTACAGTGAGTGGCCATTTTTCGTGGCGAAGTTGGTGCAGAGCATAGTGACGCCTGCAAGGTTAAAGGAAGAACGTTCGTGACCGCGCGTGCGCGGCCGACCGCGTCTCTCAGCAGAGCCATCTGTCGTTGCCTGCACAAATCACGTTAGATGACCCACCTAACAGATATGTAGGAGAAGTTGCCGAGGTAGAACGGCGCTGCACGTGTACGAAAGTGAAGCAAAATCCGATTCGAGAGGACATTTTAATGGTTTAGTAAACGAAGCGCGAGCTGTCCTTGATCTGCCCTGTAGTTTATTTGTTTCATAATGGTAAATAATATGTTTATTATATAGATCAAGGTACTTAATAGTCTAAATTAATAGTTCATAACGGTCCGTTACTAAACCCTGTCTCAGCACACATTAATACATATCTTACCCTCGCATTCTATTTCTAAGGATCCATTTTAATATTATCCTTCCAGTAAGACTTCACTTGAATTTCAGGACCCCAGCGATGGCCGGGGGGCTCTTTGCAATGGATAAGGACTACTTCTTTGAGATCGGTGCTTATGACGAACAGATGGAGATTTGGGGCGGCGAAAACCTTGAATTGTCGTTCAGGGTAAGAAATTTGTCATTTGCTTGGTTTCTGCTGTTTTCTAATTGCTTCGTAACGTATCCTTAGGGAAATCAAATAAACGAGAGTGAGATGAGCAGGGCATCCGATGTCTCTATCCTCAACCAGGTCAATCCACCTGACACAATCTCATTCTCATTAATTTTCATTTTAATATTATCACCCCGTCTATGTCTAGGTCTGGCAGTGCGGGGGCAGTGTTGAGATAGCGCCCTGCTCTCACGTTGGACATCTTTTTCGCAAATCATCCCCCTACACGTTCCCCGGGGGGGTTGGGGAGGTGTTGTACTCGAACCTGGCGAGAGTCGCCCTCGTTTGGATGGACGACTGGAAGGAATTCTACTTCAAGTTCAACCCAGGTGCGTTTTCTGTGTTCGCTTCGAACAGACTGATGATTCTTCGGTTGGCGTAATTATTCCTCGTCTCGGTCCAGAGACCGGATATCGTGACCGAAATCTTTTGTTGTTTTCCCCAGTTTTTCAAATAAATGCCCGCTTCCTTTCACATCCTTTCCAAATAATTATTCATTCGACGATATTATCCGAGCAACTGGCAGGATCGTTAAATAAATCACAAGTAAATGTTCAGTCGTTCCGATAATTATCGCCTGTTTATTTAGCACGAAGGTTTTTCGCCGAATTCACAGCCTACGATGTCATTAAATACTTTTTAATGTCGTCGTTGTCCGTCCACTGATGTCCCGAGAGGGTTTCTGCTCATAAACCACAACTGACTTGAGCCACGAATACGGCGTGCTTCGCGACTTCTCTGTCAGTAACACCGCGACTCCGTTTTGCAGCTGCGGCCCGTCTGAGGGACCGTCAGAGCGTGAGGTCGCGGCTCGAACTCCGGGAGAGGCTGCAGTGTAAGAGTTTTGAATGGTACCTCGACAACGTCTGGCCACAACACTTCATGCCCAAGGATGACCGCTTCTTCGGGAAGGTGAGCGGCTCTTCTGTTTTTTCCCCCCCCCCCTCACTGTTTATCCAAACTCAGTCTAGACCCATTTATTATAACACGAGCTGATTGTCCTCGACGTAGATCCGTAGCCGGGAGTCCGGCCGCTGTCTGCAGAAGCCAGTGGGCAAGGGAAGCATCAACCAGCCCGTCGGTAGCGCTACAGTGGTCACGTGTACCGCGGAGCCGAACCTGCTCCAGATGTTTGTGATGTCGCCCTCAGGAGTCATCATGACCGACGAATCGGTGTGTCTGGACGCTCCAGAGAGGGACGATTCGGCACGCCAACCTAAGGTCCGCATCATGGCGTGCAGCGGGACGGGTCGTCAGAAGTGGAGCTACAGTGAACAGGTCAGTTCTTGTTCGCCCCCTCTCTATCGTCAGCGAATGTGGGCCCGTCCAAGTCTGTCTGTCTCGTATTTCGTCACGTTGTACCTGTGACCTTGGAATTCATTCTTGTACCAGTGGCCCTGGATACCGTCGATGTCTTTCGTGTTATTGTTGCATTTGATATTTCCTTTGATGCCCCAGCTGATGTCATCGTCCGTGATGTGACGTAAAGGACATTTTTGGAATTTTAGCGTGCTCCAAAAATCACGGCTTTCCGAACTTTTTTTCAGTTTCCTATTTATATTTTTGCAATAATCGAAATCCAATACCTGCTTAGGATAAATATGTGCGCGTTACCATGGTAACGAGTTTTTGAGCTTCGACGCTGACCGTCGGGTTCTGTCGAATCGTCCACCATAGTGAAATGGTTCAGGCGGAAACTTCTATAGTCCTAGATCGGAAATGGAACCAGTAAATTCGTACAGAATTTTGAAACGAAAAAACCCTTCGGAAAACGTCTACACGGAAGACCGAGAAGGTTGGAGATAATATTAAAGTGATCTATAAGAATTTTTTACCGACTTGAACGAACCTGAGGATTGTCTCCAGTGGCAGATATTTGTTGGTTCGAATTCTTCGAGGGTTTCCCACTCCACTGTTCGTAGCAAAACGCAGAGATCCATTTCCTGTTGCAGACATTCGCGCTGCGACACGCTTCCAGCGGCCTCTGTCTATCCACCGGACCGGATGAGGCACTGATTCTGCAGGCCTGCTCGGGACACATCGGTCAACAGTGGCAGCTGGAGTCAGTGCCGTGGAAGTGATGGTGTTGTGTTGGTTATCTTACGAGGATATATAATTCGCCGACAAACCATTACTTTTTTTTAAGCTAATGTCGTGATGTGTCTCAGTTATGCAATTAGAAGCTTAAGCAATAACGCCCGTTAAGAAAATGCGATAATTTTCCTCAAAAATAATATCAACACACAAAATATTTAGGATTATAATTTTCCTCAAAAATAATATCAACATACAAAATATTTAAGATGTTCGTCTGCGAATTCCAATTAGGTTCACTAGGGGTTCGCGAGCCGCAGTTTTGCAACCGTCAGTTGAGTATTTGCACATGTATTTCAAAAATCTCTCCTATTGCATATTTTACATTTTCATATCAAATTGCCCGGTTTGTGGTGATGTAAGCAGCATTAAGAGGTGTGCTTATCGTAGTTAGAATATCACTCAAGAGATGGCCGTGGTTGTAGTGAGAATACTACTCAAGAGATGGCTCTCTGCTTCGGGCGTGCGCACATCTAACTTCCCCCAGAGAGCGAGTAACTCCGTTATCAGGTTTGTTATCAGATGAATGAAATTAACGAGATTTGTAGCACGCTTGGAAGAAACAAGAAATACATTTACATTTTTGTTTGGAAATATTTGACGGAAGACAACTTGGAAGACTTAGACGCAAGGTTTGAAGTCTCTCGGGGAAAAAATGTGATGTGATGAATGCAATGAATCTCGAGGTAATACGCAAACTGTGAATTTATTGTTCAGAACAATGAGCATTCTTTATCGTATGGTAAAGTTAAATGAAGTCTGTTGTTTTGGGCATGTCTCGTATTTTGAAACGTGTGCATTTGCAGTTCGGAATTCGTTTGTAGCGAGTCAACCCGTTCGAAAATGCGATTTCGAATATACGTGTGTTGATTACAGCAGGAGATTCGATACGCTTCTTAGACTTGTTGAAAACCGTAAATGAACTTATTGAATTGCTATGCTCTGTGCTGGAGCTGCAGAAAAATCGATGTTTCACCCATCCATTAATGTCGGAGTATTCCATTTCAATTTTGACATTTTAGTTTATTATTAAAATTGTTCTAATACTTGTAAATTTTATTTTTATTTCATAAAATTTCAATTTCTAACCTGTAATTAGAGGCGTTTATGTGATTTGTGAGATTATTGTTTATATTTGTCAGCTTCATCAGTGACGTCTTCATAATAGAGATTCTCGGGGCTGTAGTATTAAGTCTGTTTTTTTTCAATTCTTATGTCTTATTTGGAGTAGTGTACAGAATTAAAGCATATTGGGGGTTTCAGCCGTGAAACCACCTTAAAAATTGGTGTGTGCGGGGGAGGGGGTGCTGAAAATTATCGATAGAATATAATTTTGGCCCTTTCGAGTTCATTGTAGCCCCCCTGTTTTTACACAGGGCCCAAATCGTGCTTTAAGATTTCAGGGATTTTATTAACATAAATTGTTTAAAACGACGAACTCTCTGGATATTATCCATCGTTTTAGTTTTTGTTACAAATAAGACGTTTCGGAGACTAGACTGTCTCCGTCCTCAAGTAAAAATCTACTCTGTTGGACCAAATCAACAGAGCTAGTTGTAGTCTCCGGACCATCGTCACAAACCGTAAGATTTAGTTCATATAAATGTTTATTTGAAATTTTATATAGCGAAGATTTAAAGAAATAAACTGAAAATAATTTGTATTTTTATACAGCTCACTGGATTTGCGACAATAAAGTAATATCTGCAACAAATTGACGTCACATAAAGTAGCAAAGAACTCGTTTGTAAGATATGAATATGGCTGTTCACCGGTGGTTCTTACAGTTGTAGATTACGAACAGGTGGGGGGGGGGACCCCCTCCTCGCAAGACGGACAGAAACACGATACATAAATTGAAGCTGTGGTTCGGTCTGAATGTAACGTGTGCTTCAATGACGCATCAGACTCATATCGTAAATGGAAGAAAGCAGGTTTTTTATAAAACGTAGTTTACAGGAATTATTTTACGATATGTTTATTTTGTATTTTGAAAATACAATTAATATGTAATATTTACTTATAGATAAATGATAAATTTATATGGAAAACGTTTTCTGATTAACTTCATGTAATTTCTTCTTAAGATGACTGTCTTCTGTGTTGTTGCACCATGTATTTCGGTAGAAGTTGACCAACGTTTCATCAGGGCGATGAGATTCATCTCCCTGATGATGGAGGCAGCATGGACATCTGAAACGTCGGTAAACGTTTACTAGACTATACGGTGTAACAACACAGAAGATAGCTATTTTCAGACTCACCACCGTGAAAACCTAAAATCCTGCTTAGTTTTGCTCTTAATTTCATTCCAGTTCCAAAATTTCCTACTTAACTGCCCTTGGTATAAACTACAGAGTTTCTGTAAAGTAAGGTGCATGAATTAAGTGAGTAATTTAGAATATTCCATGACAATCGTGAACCCTGGAGACAATTGGTGCACTTTGAATGTGGGCGAGAAAATACCGTTCAGTGGTGATTCTCTGGGCAACTACATCTGGTGGCATCTCTTGAAATCGCCTCAAAGACCTCGCAGTCGAAGGAATTATAAATCGTGTACAAGGCTTGAAATAGGGACCCAACCGCAGTTAAGGTTGATTACCATTAAAGAGCTTAGCTCTGTGGTAATACGTGTAATTTTAATTTGGAAGTCGGGGGTCCTTCTTTCGAAACGTGGCTATATCTCTGGTTGCCCTGACTAATTTTCCGTCATCCACTAAAGTAAGATGTCTTCATACTGTGACCATTATTATTATTATTATTATTATCTATCTTTACTATAAAAATTTGTGATTAGTCGTTGTCTTCAACATTCCTTCTCATAATATGTCCCAGCCAGTTGGCTTTCCTTCGTGTAATCTTTGCTCGTTGACTCTCCTCAATACTTCTTCGTTGGTCACTCGATCCGTCCACCTGATCTTCTCTATTCTTCTCCAACACCACATTTCGAAACTCTCCAGGTATTTCTGTTCCTTCTTCCTGAGTGTCCAAGTCTCTGCTCCATACGTAACACTTCACTAGTTTCTTCTTCATCTCCAAGCCCAAATTGCTAGTGAGAAGTATCCTCTTCTGCACCATTATAATCTTTAAAATTATTTGCGACTTTTCCTGAATAAACATCTTTGTACCTCAAACTTAATAATTCACTTAGTAAATAAATACAATAAAATGAACGAAGAATTAAATTAATACAAATGAATTATAAATAACTCAAGAAATATCGAAGTTCTAAGGGCCTTGTAGTAAAATGCGCTGTTTTATTTCATACACTAGTCGTTTGTTCTTTGTTTACAAATGTCTGCAAAACTTAAAGGACCAAGTTCGTCTACAACGTGTCTGCATGTGGTCGACATAACCTCGGGAAGCCAATTGTGTCGGACTGTATACAGACAGAGATGGACTGGCCCACAAGGTGTTCTTCGCTCACGGTAGAGCGTGAGGAACGCGTATAAACTTAGAGGCCTGCTGCAAAACAGAATAAACATATGAGGCGATTGATTGAGTTTCCTCAGGGCTCAGATGTGGTCAGTTGTTGACACGACGAGACTGTACCCTTGTCTATGTGCTAATTTAAAACTAGACGAAGATCGATACAGGCGCTTGAAACGTGAAGAAACGCGGAACTAATTGCATCGACTACTTAATAAGAAATGATCGCAGCAAGTCAGAAAGCAGACAGAGTGTGGTGATTGCGCTTTATAAGTGACCTTTCACCTCTCGTAACTTCTCAGTTGGGCGACCCAAACATGTAACGAGTTCATGAAACGAGACCAGACCTGGATTCATTTACCGCCGTCTGCTAATTGATGAACCAAACGACTTGTTGCTTGAGAGACTGCATTTCCAACAAAAATTATATTAAGAAGGGGTGTCCAGTATCTGACGTTAGACACTTATAAATTTTTGGTGTTTTGCAAGCCTGCTTCTAATCCCAGTATTCAAATCAGAAGGGGTTGATTTTGAACTGAGCATGGGAACACTTTGTCACATTCTGGTGCTCAACATGGTTACCATTAAAGCAACTAACAGCGTGGAGTAGAATCTTTGCTGAGGTACAAGATTAATTTCCATGTTCATAAGAGTCTGCCTTTATCGTATGGGGGTCGTTAGGACGAGGGAAGCATTATAAAATTTCGGAAACTAGTTGTTTCATATTTCGAATCTAGTGATGATAATCTAATGCCGATATTGTTCTACGAACACGTGAACTCGTAAACAGATACGAAAGTTTCGGGGAAACTTACTGTCTTCGTCTTGAGGGCCGTGCTGACCTCATGTAAAATATTTACTTCCCAACATTCCCACGTTAGTCAAGTAGATGGAGACAGTGTGCTTCTCCTAAACTTTGGCATCTTCCAGTGAGTTCGCACGATGTTACAACCCAGAGGAACATCGTCAATTTTATTGCCGTGAAATCCAGAACCTCACAAACTTTATCTAACTCGCCACACGAAATACGTACCTTTCCTTTAATGTGAACCAGATAGTTACCGAAACGTCATGTATCTTTTAGTTCCCACAACTGGCAGTGCTAAAGTAGATGCAGAACCTCAGGATGTCTTCTGAGAGCCTGTCGAATAAGGGATCTACCGGCTACAGAACGGGAAATTCGGCACTAGATACTTCACGACGAAGTGCAGACTGAGAAGACGGAGGTGCGTCCTCCAGCCTGCACTCTGATGAGCATTTCTCTCTGTCACCTCGAACAAACCCGTGTTCGATTGTATCGGGGTTACATAGTTTATAATGTGACGAAAACAAGTACTCATTATAGTGTGGCAGGACAAACATTTTTCTTGTAGTATCACTTGCTGCTACTGTCTTCAACGTAGATAAGATCCGATGACACGCAACATAACCTGTTTAAAATGTGTGCTCATATTACAAAGCAAACCGATAACATGTTTCAGGATTTTAACTAATTTACAAGGTTCTTTCAACAGCGGAGTAAAGTAAAACGTGGTCATTGAAGAGTTAGAATTACTTACTCTTCGGAAAACTTACGTTTCTAGTCTGTTTCGTAGCTATTTTCATCGAAGGTAAGAGTGGTTTTCCTTAGTCCCTCCAGGAAAGTTCAGGGTTATTGAATTAAGACAGGATCCTGTAACTTT